AGCCTTTAACCGCTAACCAAAGCTAAAAAACATTTTTACATATCACTGCTACTCAGCGCATGCTCCACCACTGCGTTAAGACGCCAATACCCCCGCCATCATTATCGGAAGAGCGCACAGATAGCAAATATATGCACAGGATTGTGCCTCCCGTGCGCCGCCGGGCAGCACAATCAAGCGCACTAAAGCGCAGATCGGCGCAGGGTATGCTGTGTTGAGGGTGCATACACACCCTCTACAGATTTTCGTCGGGACAACAAAAGAATAGCGGCAACAGACACCCAAAGAACCTTCTGCAACTGCATTCAGCGGGTTCTAGCCCCCCTCCACATTCTGTCGTCCCTTCTCCAGGGGTCCCACGTCGCACGCTGAAATTTGGTCCTGCGAGGCCGACAGAGCAGAGACCTCTTTAGAGAAACTACTGTCTCCGCAGAGGGCCGCGCGCCTCTTGTGTAAGTAGCAATAGCAGTCAGTAGAGCGGAAACAAGTTTCTTGTCTCTAGAGCGCATCCTATGGCCGGGAGATTCTCGTTTGAAAGAGCTCGCAACAGTCTTGATGCGCTCTATCAACTGCGGCCACCATTCCTGACCGTTGGCGCTTTGACCAAGCAGCTGGATTGCACAGTAAAGTGTATCTACCACAAGGAAAACTGTCCCGACAATGTTTACGTAATTACATGGGTATATACCCGACAACGAAATGTCCATGTATTTCAGGGCATATGTACACAGGCGCTCTACTGAGGAAACAAGGTGATCCAAATCCCCCTTGGTGAGAGTCGGCTTTAGAAAAATAGCTCGGATGGAATCAAGAACAAAAACAGGTCTGCTCCTTATGCTACCCGAGACCCCTATGTTGGCAACGTCGAACTGTCTTGCGCTGAGGCCCGGCGGAACAGAGGGAAGACGGAAGAAAGGGTGNCTATGTTGGCAACGTCGAACTGTCTTGCGCTGAGGCCCGGCGGAACAGAGGGAAGACGGAAGAAAGGGTGTCCGCTGATATCGTTGCTGGTTCCTAAAGCAGGTACGACAGCAAGGCTCTCGCCCTCCGCAGAACGCTCCGGCTCCGCCTGAATTACCTGAGCGCAGATGCCGCCGCAACAAGTTTACCGGTCACGTTTTCTGTCTACGCCATTCATGGCAGTAGGCTTTGGGCAGCACTGAGTCAAGCTAGCATATAATGTCACCAGGCAGTAGTGATAGAAAACGAGACGATGCACAGCTGTTCGGAAAAGTGTAATATGCAAGCTCCGCATAAACGAAAGGTATACATAGCAGGTGAGCGCTGTTTGCGCACAGCTTATGCCACAAGCCAGAGCGTACCTGCATTGTTACGTCAGAAGTTCCACTTCCTACTTTGGCTAAGCTGCTACCTACTGGATGACTCTGTCGCAATCCTGAATCTGTTGACGATATGGTTGGCCCGTTGCCGGCCTCTCGATAGCATCGCAAGTCCTCGCACTCTGAAAAAGTCGCTTCCGTATCGAAATGGCTGTCAAAGTGGCTAGCTGGCCGACTATCTTTAGGCGGTTCTGGAAACCAGCTCCGCAGTATTAGTTCCTCATCGTCCACCAAGCTTTCTAAATTGATATCAAGAGGAGAAGGTGCCACACTTACTGCCGGTGTTGGCCCTCGTCGCAAACCCCCCACTGATTCAACGACTTCCACCGAAGATAAGCTCAAGCTACTTGAGAGTGGAGTATATAAAACTTTTGCAGAAGGGGGAGTCGATTGGATTTTCGCAGAAGGCTTACTTGGTGAAGAATCTCCGACAGTACTGGATAGCCAGAATTCTAGTTGTTCTTCTTCTGAAGACCGATGTGCATGTGAACCCAACTGTCGACCAGTTCTTCCGCGTTGTCTTTCGTGTAAAGCCTCCTTTCCCTTGTTGTCTTTCTCTTCCCCTTCCTGGCTAACATGAGTTCCTCGCGTCCTGTTCTGCGAACGCTCTTGTTTTCTCAACCGGGCGTCTGACCGGTCAGTTGCCGGCTCCATTTCAAGCTGCGCGGACTCGGCCTGTCTNGTTTTCTCAACCGGGCGTCTGACCGGTCAGTTGCCGGCTCCATTTCAAGCTGCGCGGACTCGGCCTGTCTCGGAGCTAACTTTCCTATATCTTTGGCTAAAAATACTTCTTTTGGCGCCCGCTCGGGCGGCATCGCAGTATATGGGTAGGGCTCCGATTTTTGATCGTTTGAAGTTTCCCCGGGTGCGCATATATCCAGCGAGTCCTCACGGCCGTCCTGCACATCTCTTAACCCCTTCCCAGAAGCCAATCGCCGACCTAGTTTCCAAGACCACAATGGCTTTGCGATAAGGGTGGCACAGGTAAACACCAACAAAATTGCTGCTGTGACTGTACCAAGGGCTGCAAACCTACGGAAAGCCCTCTCAGAGCTGGACGGCTGGTGCGAGCCCACCCAACCACGGTTGTAGTTTCTGTAAGGTACATTTTTTCTCTCCGAAAAAGCAAAATCCAAACGCTTACCACGCAGAGCATTCATTGGTGGTTCGGCGAGAAAGGGCGAGACATTCATCGCTGAATCCATCGGCTAACAGGGCCAACCACGGGGAAAATGCACGGCCACGAATACTTCTGCTGGCCTCGAATGCATATATATTGGGTAGAGAGTACTGAACCACCTTTCAAGGGCTGCCTGTTAACGGAAGCAGATGCACGGGTTTGCTACGGACCGTCCAGACCAGAACAGCATTTTCAGAGTNAAGCAACTAGCTGCAGAATCTTAAAGAACGACTGGTCCTAGTGGAGTCAATTTGAGCGGACCGCCCGCCATAAATATCGATCCCATACTCTGGCTTAGAGACTTAGAGACTTCGTTGCATGCGTACGCCTATCAAATGCTCCACATGAAGCCAATAAGCGGTTAAATAAATAACAAAAGAATTCATTTACGATCAGACGGTAGTGCTTTGAACTGTAAAGCTTGCTGTAGGTTCAGCTGCCTCGCTAGTCCCGTACAACGCAAGAAAGTGGTAATGCTGGAGGCGCCCCCGAACTGGTTTGGGCAGAGAACGAAACAACTGAGACACGATTGAATTATACGTGCGATAATAAAAGGCGTGATATAGTGATATAAGAAGTGTAAAAAATAGGGCATTGATGTAGCTGTTACTCACTACAAGCCGAGTGTAGAGGCAGCCATGCCGCTAGCTAGCACCGCCTCCATAGCTTGCTCTGTCTGATGCTGATTGGTCTATTTCTACTTGCTTGCAGGCTAGATACTGAGGGCCAAACGTAAGTTTGCCAATTTTGTACAGTGTTGTTGTATGCAGCATAGGGGGATTGGATGTGCTTGCACGTGTGGNGTAAGTTTGCCAATTTTGTACAGTGTTGTTGTATGCAGCATAGGGGGATTGGATGTGCTTGCACGTGTGGGGTTGCCAAACACCAGTAGTTGCAGCGAGGTGCTCAAAGGCCTGGCTACTAAAATCGCAGTTTCAGCTAGGCCGGACACATACAAAGTAGCAAACGGTTAGTCTAAACATCTTAGAGGCAAGGGGAAGTTATTCGTTTTAAACGAGTGCAGTATGATAAACGGTACCTATACCAGTGAAGTAGCCATACCGTGAAAGTGTGCACGTCTCGCTGGTAAGCAGCGCGAGCATCCCCCAGTGCTGAAGGGACAAGCCCAGCCTACAACCATAGGGGAAATCCCAACAGAGCTTCGGAGATATATTCTCCCGCTGAATTACCAGCATAAAACTAACCGACAACCCATATATCCTTTTCCTTTTTACGGTTACGGGCTACTACCGAGTGGTACGAAGCGGGTCAAGTCTCCCTAATGCCGTAGGCGCAGGATACGCATTAGTGGATGCTCGAACGGGATTTCGAATCGTATTCTTTAACATTTCTAAGCGTTTCCTTTCGGCGAATCACGTATTGAACTAAATGGTCCTCTGGTTGAGCCAACTGCACTGGATTCCATTTCCCCTAATTTAGGAGAAATCTGCTCCTGTCTCTAGACAGGCCTGACTGGCGGCCGATGCGAAGTATCCCATGATTGAGAAAACCTACGATGCTGCAGCACAAGCAAGTGGAAACCCGATGCAAGTCGAGGTGTCCCAACATTTTCTGTACTCTTCTTTTCGTCTCCCATATCTGCGAGTGTGCCTCAACGGACTGTGAAAATCTTTGTGCCGCAGTTCGCTGATTTCCTTATCCAGATCCTCTATTCTCACCACGATCATCTCAATGCTGGACATCGTGGCGACAAGAAGACCTACTTTGCCCTCTGCCGTGATTTCTATTGGCCAGGCATGCACGCTTACTTCACTGCGTAGTGGCCTCCTTCACACAATGCCTGTTGCCCAAATTCCTATCTCAACGCTCAGCCAGTTTGTTTCGGCTACTTCTTATCCAGTGCAGACGTTGGAATCCCTTCCCCCTGGGTTTTGATCATTGATCTTCCTCTCACAGTGCATGGCCACGGTGCGGTCTTGCTCACCGTGGACTCCCTCAGCAAAATGGCTCATTTCATCCCCACGTCTAAGGCTCTCTCTACAGAGCAAACCATCGAACTTTTGACAGACCGCCTTATCCGTTATTACGGCCTCCAGGATGCCCTCATCAAGGATCGTGATTCACTTTTTTAGTCAGACTTTTGGGAGCAGCTCTGTAACCGTTTTAACATCCAGCGAGCCATGTCCACCGCATACCGTTCGCAGGCCGCTGGCGAGGCGAAACGCGTGGATCATGAAATTGTAACCTCGAATAGAGTATACATACGCACACCCAGACGGACTAGCGCGGNAAACGCGTGGATCATGAAATTGTAACCTCGAATAGAGTATACATACGCACACCCAGACGGACTAGCGCGGGCGGGAACGGCTGCTGCTCGCACCGGGACTAGCGTATAACACCGCCAGCCACTCGTCAAAGGAGCTCAGCCCCTTCGGGGTTATGATCGGGGATAACCCGATCACAGCGGCAGACTTGGACGTCGTCGGCGCCTTAGCTCCTACCATTACACCCCCCATGACCAAGGCTTTCCGTCGCTTGTGCGATCGAGCCAAAGCAGATATCTTCTCCGTTGAGTGGGAGCTAAAGGCCTACGCACCTCAACGCCGACGGGAGGTTGTTTTTGAGGCCGGCGACGAAGTGCAGCTCAGGAGTCGGCATCTTCCTCCCCAAAACTCTTGCTGCGGCATCACGCACGTGCCGCCCGACGGGCTCGCTCGAGCTTCTCCTCAGTAGTCTCCCCAGCATTTCCGTTCTGCCGCCACTCTCCTTTCACGGGTGAGAAACTCCCGCCCGCCCCCCAGGGTTCCTTTCTTCCAGCTCGAATGCCTGTAGCACCCGCTTCCATAATGGGTTATTTGTGTTAGCTTCGTTAGAGAGGCGAGGCCGTCTATTGGACGTAACNGCACCCGCTTCCATAATGGGTTATTTGTGTTAGCTTCGTTAGAGAGGCGAGGCCGTCTATTGGACGTAACTCAGTTAGTGGCAATCCGTTAGAGCGGATTACCACACAGCACCTACCAGCGGGAATAACCCAACAGAAAGGTGCAGACGAGAACCAATGTAGTGCCCGGAGGTTTAGCGGGATAGTCGGTATAAGAAACCTCTAGAAACGGATGAGTAACAGATATATTCTGAAATAATATTTTAGATTGTCCCAAAACTTAAAATGTTAAAATAATATTGACGCGTATAATGATACACGGCTAGTAACTCACATTGACAACATACAGGTCAACGATTAGCGCCGAAACCAACACGTTCCTAGAAACAGAGGGAAATGCGCAGAACGTAGATTGAATTCTCAAGAATAAAGATTGACTGAAATGTTTTTTCCGAAAAGATGAGAAAACATAGACCTGGTCGTTCCCCCGGCATTCTTCCGTTAGGGCTCCTCGGGGTCTCTC